AACCACCCTTCGGTTGCTGCTCCCTCCCAGGAGCACCATTTCCAGGGTTCTGCCAGGCACCTTCTCCGCGGGCTTCCTTTATCGCGATCGCAGCCTCCGCCGGGTTGCTACCTGAGCTGTCTCCAAGGGGCACAGCTCCATCTTCTGAGCAGTCTGCCACGGCATCCCCTGAGAGACCTGCTCCGACGATTTCAGGCGCTGCAGCAACAGGTCGATCGCCTCGGCGACCCTCCCTTGGGCCAGGAGGTCCGCACCATAGGCCAGGTGAACGCTTCTCGGGCCATCGCGCCATGGAGTTTCAGCTGAAGCACCATCCTGAAATAGTGCACTTCCACCGGCGCCAAATCTCTGTTTTGGCCCCACAGCTGCCCTGAAGCCGCGACCAACGACTTCTTCATTTCGTTGATGGACGCCGCCGCCAAAACTCCTGGGCCTCTTACTCCAACTCTCCTGATCCTCTGCGCCTCCTCGAACACCCCCGCGTCCTCCTCCTCTGTCGACTCCTCTCCCGAAGAGTCCCGATCGGAGATGTCCAGGAGGTGTCTATCTGTCTCTGCAACAGCCTCAGGCTTTTCTTTACCTTCCTCACCACCTGTCTCCTCACCTTGACGTCCGGGTCCATCCCGGTGTTTCCAAACACGGCGCTCAGCTCCTTTGTTGCTTCGACCTTTACTCCTCTCTTCGCCTTCTTTTTCTTTTTCTTCCTCTTCTTTCTCCTCCGGCTGGATGAGCTGGTTGAAGAGCTTGACTCGCTTCTCGCCCTCTTCTTCTCCATACCTCCTGTCTCCTTTTCCTTTACCCTCCTGCTCTTTCTTCCAGCCTTCAAATCCTCCTTGTCCAGCTCATTGCCCCTCTCTCTCAAGGCCGCCATGTCGTCCACCTGAAACGGCACACGCCCCACCAGGTTGTCCAGCCACGCCTCCCCTGCGCCTGGGAGGCAAAGCCTGACTTTCTTCACGTGGACCAACCCGTCCTCGCATAGGCCTGCCACGCAACCGTCCCCGCACATGTGTAGCTTGCATCGGCTCGCTGGGTTCCCTGTCGACCACTTCAGGAGGTCCTCGTTCTCCGTGCCCAACAGCCGAACCTCCACGACGACCCCTGCTCCGTCCTCTTCGACTCTCTCCACTGTTCCACATAGCGTCGCGGGGGCTTCCCAGTAGTTGCCTTCAACCACGATCAAGCTCTGGCCTGGCCTAATCAAATGTCTTGGCAACTCCACAACGTTCACACTCTCCCCTCTCTCAAACCCCTCTTCAACTGGAGCCACCTCTCTACCAGCCGGCCTCCTCAACACGGCAGGGTCGGGCAAGGGCTCTGGCTCTCCCCTTCGCAGCTGCTTTAGCCTTAGCAGCTCCTCGTCTTCCGCCCACCTTCGGAGGCATCAATCTCCTCGGCCTCCCCAGTGCTTTCCACCACCTTTTCCTTTTCCTCCACCAAAGCGCTCTCTGAACCTCCTCTGCTGCTCTCTTTTCTTACGCCCTTTGTTCTTACCTCTCCTGCCCTCGCCTCTGTACTCCTCTCGGGGCCGGATCAGCAGGTCCTCGATGAAGCCCCCCGGGAGCCTCCGCAAAGGGGACCGGCTGAGGTCCCTCTTGATCTCCTCCTTCTCCCTGCTGTCTGATGCTTCCTCTCTCCTCTCTTCACCTTCAGCCCGTTCCTCAGTGGCCTCCTTGCTCTTTGCAATAAGCCGCCTGATGCGCCCTTCACTCGAAGTGCTCCTATGCCTCCTCGCTTTATCCTCCTTGCTTGATGACACCGGAGAGGTGGGGGTCCGATGCCTGGCTTCCCTTGGACGCCCCTCTTCCTCCTCGCTCGCGGCGGGCTCCTTCTTGACCCCCACAGACCCTCCGACCTGGTGCCACGGAAACTCTTCCCTTCCTCTTTTCAATTCCTTTCCTCCCGAACTCCTGGTGACCTCCACGCTCTCCTCACGTTTCCCCCTCGATGACCTAGACCTCTTCCTTCTCCTCTCCTTCTCCTTCTTTTCTTCTTTCTTCTTTTTCTTCTTCTCCTTCACTCTCTCCTCACCGGCCTCTTTGGCCCCAGCAGCCTCTGCCGCTGACCCTGTGTCGGAGGCCGGGGGGACTGCCAGGTCCCCCGGTCCTCCCTCACGGAGCTCGAGCTCTCGCTGGAGTTGTTTTTTTGGAAGGAGCACCTCCTACCCCTCCCGTCCCAGGAGGGGTTGCTGCAGGGGGCTGGGTTGCCAACCAGTGATCCCGATCCCGAAGGTCCAGGATCTCCCCCTGCAGCAACCTCACACGCTCGAGGGCCCGGCTCCAGAAAAAGTAGGAGCTAGACCCTCGGCACAGGTCCCTGACCCTGCTAAGGGTCAGGCACAAGTCGCACTGGCACACTCCTTCGGAGGAGTGGCCAGTGGCCATAACCCGCAAGCCGAAATCTGGCGGAACGCAAACCTAATTCATCTTTACATACCGGGGCGTTACATCATATATGTATGTGGTTGCTTTTAAATATAAGTTACTAATTCTGATTTATTGATTGTAACTGATTGTGTTTTCTGTTTCCCTGCACAAGACATATACATGTTCCAACAGTGTTTGTCGGAGAATCGCTAGGGCAACAACCTGACCGTCATTCACAAATGGTCTCTGGTGGATCATTGGCAGGCACATCTTTGGTGGTCCTGCTGGAAGACGGCGCGTCTTTTGACTCATTCTTTGAGGTCCCGCCTTAGGTGGGTAACATTTCGCATCCCGACAAATGTACGGCAGGCGCACTCCCAGCTCCCGAGCTGCCGGCGGCTTTCCAACTGCAAACTCTTGAAGGTGAGCCTCAGCACCTTGTGGGCTCTTCTTTGGGTGGTCTCCCTATGAGATGGGCGGATCTGTTCTCAGGCGACCCCCGAAACGGTGTCCCTTTTGGTGTTAAATCCTCAAACAAAGACACACCCAGATTGGAGGCCAAGCCTGCTCATGGCCGAAGGGAGGGCAAAATAGGTCTCCGTGACAGGATCTGGCCGCACAACGCCACCTCAACTGGCCAATAATTTACCACTGTGATGCATGGATTCCTGAGCTTTGCACTTCTTCGAAGTCTTCCCGAGATCGGGCGCCAGCAACTGCAACGGTTTCTAAGCCATAAATCAAAACTGGTTTGGAAAAACAGGATCCCCAGCATCGAGCTGCATGGGCCACGCCTCTGTTGTGGCCAGCACTGAGTCAAGACAGAGTGTGTCAGTGGCCTTAGAGGCTCACAAGGCAGGAAGCAATCCATTGGGATCAATTCCGGGCTGATGAGCACATCCTTTGGCACATCCAAAGCACCAGAAACATAGTTGAGGGCAAGGCGCAAAGAGGAGGGCAGTAAAAGAATCCGTCCTGGTTTGAGAAGCTGCATTTCTCTTTAAACCAAGCTCATGTCTGCGCCTCAT